TATATATAATATATATATATATATATATAGCTGTTGTCGGAAGAAAACCTTGTATCTAAAAAATAAGTATAACTTTAAAGGAGAAGGAAAACCATGCTTTACTTTTAAGTCAATGGAACCAGACTCTTTTCCAAGTCATTTTGGCCCTTTCTTTTATTCCATTTATAATGAAATTTACATACAATGTGGCAACAGAGCGACAGGTATTTTCAAATTATGTCAAAAACTGAAAAATGTGTATATATAAATATATATATCTTTCTCTCTCTCTCTCTCTCTCTATGTATATATATAATATATATATAAATATAAAATTATATATATATATATATATATATATAATTTTGTAGCAGACACGTGTAAATTTGTTCTGATATTATTCTGATCAAATTACATGTTTTGTTGATTTTCTGGCTGAATATAATATATTGGGAAAAAAGAAGACATAAAATGTGCCCATGCAAAAATGACCAGGGAGTGTTCAAACCTTTGCATATGAATACATCCACTTATTATTTAACATTTGATAACTTCTTGTTTTCAATAAATGAAAAGGTTTTTGAGAGCAAGAAGTTACTATATACCATAAAAAAGCCATCTGTTGTCCAGCTTATCATATTTTAATCTGCACTTATGCTCTTAAAAAGGATGCCACAGAGGGTTTCTTAAGCAATGCCATGGAAGTACCCCTTTTCTCCATGGCGCCACATAAAAACTCTTTTCTAGCCACATGGTTGTTGAATAAAATCACAACATCTGACAAGTGATTCTAAACTTCCAGACTGGAAGCAGTGAATGAGGGAGACCTTGTGTAAATGTGGAAGGTAACATGAGGCCAGCAGCATGCCTTTCACACCTGCTGTCTTTCTGTGGGGGTGAGTGTGATTTGAGAAAGGTGATCTGAGAGGCGGCTGGGCTGAAGAGTAGCCCTGCCTGGATGCGTCTGGAGCTGAAAGGGAATACGAGCAGTATGTCACCTGTTTTGCACTGGCACAGGACTGGAGAAGGTCTCTTTTACATGGACAGACAGCGCCCCATCTGTGACTAAAGCTTCTCAAGTAACCAGTGTTTGTCATTTAAAAGGCTCTGATAATCTAGGAGGGGGGTTTTCGCCCACATAGCAACATCTGGAACTAATTAATGCACTTAATACTGTATACAGTACTGTGCAAAAGCTACCCTTCATTGACTTAATTTCCAGCAAAATGACCATTAAGTACATATTATTCATTTTTCAGGAGATGTTTCTGAGGAGATTAGACATAAAATAATCCACTCACAAAAAACAATTGGAGTTCAGAAAATGATCAAAAATACAGAAAAGATAGGACTCCTAACAATTGTGCAGGAACTGGTAGACCACCTAAACTGTCACCATCAGATAAACAGTACTTAAAGCTTTCGTCTTTGAGAAAAAAACGGGAAAACCCAGCTTCACTCTTGCTTTAGATCTGAAAAAATCCACCGGTGTTTCTGTCCATCCTTCCACAGTGAGATGACAACTCAACACTGAAAGGATGTGTAGCTGTCAAGAAGCCATTACTGAGAAAAGGAAACAGACAAAAAAGAACATTTGGAACACAGACAAAAAAAGAACATTTGGAAATCAAATGAAGAAGCTGCTGAGAACCTCAGCAGCTTCTTCATTTGATTCCCAAATGTTCTTTTTTGTCTGTTTCCTTTTCCAGATCTCCACATCACTGAATGTGTTTGGAATTACTTGGGTCATGAGAAGCGTTCTAAGCGACCTGCTTCTAAGACTGAACTTTGGAGGTGTAGAAACTATATCCCTGCAGGTTTTTTTGAAAAACTGAAAGCAGGTCTGCTGAAAAGAATAGACACTGTAAATAAAGAAAAAATCATATTATATTTAATTGATCAGGCTTCTGTGTAATGTTCTGTAATATATATATATATATATATATATATATATATATATATATATATATATATATATATATATACTTTCTTTTCCTGACACTGAAAAATGAGTAATGTGTAATTGGCTGTTTTGACTGGAAATTAAATAAATGAAAGGTGGTCTCTGACTTTTGCACAGTATGTTATATAGTTAGTTTATATTATGTAATGATTTCAGTACAGAATCAAATAAAAAACTGTATAAGTACTGTATTAAAACAGTAAAGTTCAAGGGTCTCTTATCTGCTGTGGAAGGGGACAGCCAACACTCAACGACTGGGCTTGCTTCTAATACATAAAGTCTAGGAGTTGCGATTGTTCGCTCTTGCCTTGTAATAACAGGCACTAAGTTTCAAGTTCTGTTTGAAGACTTTTATTAATTTGAGTCGAACCATTGTGTGTAATACACTGAGAAAGTTTTATCGCATATCATAAAATGAATCAAACCTTGACCACAGAATCAAAAATTGTATAGGATCTGAAAATGTGTGTATTGTTACCAGTAGTTAGATGTAGTTGAAACGTGTGTGAAAATGCTAGTTTGGCAATCCAGGCAAAGCTAGGTGTTAATGGACGGTGATCTTCTAAAGCCTCCATCTTTTGTCAGGATAATGGCCTTTTTAAGGGTATCACATCAACCACACTAAAATGTGAAGCAAGAGCACACTGCTTTATCATGCCAGCATTCAGCTAACAGAATCTGGCACATTCAGCAGACTGTTTAGTCTGCACCTTATCAATAACTGCCAAAGTGTCTTGCTAAGCTCTGTGTTAACAGACCAATCAGCGCATAGCTGTTGCAAAGAACAGGGAAAAGCTAGGAGAATATTTGCATATGTAGTTGTTTTCTCCAACGCTTTCCGAATATAAACATTTTTTTAAATGTTTACCTTTCAAGCATGCCTTTTGGCTCATTTATTTGCATGAACGGTTGAAGTCTTTGTTGGGACATATTTTGGTGCCCCAGCCAGCGATGATTAACTCAACCACAAAATCCCCTTTTTCTTTCCACCGAAACAAAATAAGGTTACACACTGTGTGTTGCAGTAATGTTTATTCACCAAGGTCTCAATTCACCAGTTCACTATATTACAGCAGTACCAATCTATGGATTTGTATTCACCACGTCGTAATTTGTATCTTCATGACGCATCTCATCTCTCATTTCAATTCTGAAATTTGCGTTGGTTTCTTCTTTTTCAGAATGACTGTTTGGCATGTCTGAGAGATATGTGCACATACCACACACAACCAGTTTAATCGGTTTACATTTCCATGTCAAATCAAGAGTATGCATGCTAATGAATTCAGGCTGGGTAATGGCTCTCAGAGCTGATTTAAAATGAACAAAGATGATACATAAACGTAAAGCAAGGCATTTACAGTTATTGGTTCAGAAGCTATTGTCTGAAAAGTAAGCTTTGTGATGCAAATTTTGAATTTTGGGTTGGCCAATTGTTGGGGGGTGGGCACTGGTTAGGGATGGGGTAACCATATGGTCACCCAAGCCCATCTTCTATCCTCCGCTTTACTCACATTGAAATTAATACCCTTCAGTTTCTCAGGGAATTTAAGACAAGCGAATTCATTCACACATCTCGCGGAACCACCCCTAAATAACTCATATAGGAAGCATCCCCAAAGATACTCTTTGCCTAATTTTCTACACTTTTATGCTATTCTTTTACTATTCTATTTATGCTAATGTGCCATGGAGACATTGCTCTAATTGGACCTTCATTTGGATAATTCAACGACAAACCTCGTCAGTGTAATTCCTGTTTGAACTGCGTCCGTAGAAAGAAGAGAGCTCCAAAAATAGAACCCAGAGTCTAACCTGTGCTTTATATTTATGATCATTAACTTTAAGCTAGGTGCTGAAATGGCCTCTCAGCAGAACCAAAGAAATTCACACCGGCCATCTCACAAGTCTCTGTGAATGACTGTTTTCTGCATACAACTTAAAATCATTGCCATCAACATGCAGTTTCTTCAAGCAGTTTTGTCATCATGTTCCAACATTTTCCTGTCCGACACAAGAAGAGGCATTCCAGCCATAAATCAGTATCGCATCCCTCACCCCCATCAGTTTTACAGACTTATAGATTTTGTAACCTTTTTGTGTTTGTTCACTCATTACAATACCCACGATGCACAGCACAAATGCACAGACCCCTTGGAAATCCCCCCACTGTGATAAAGAAATCCACTGAAGTAGAAACTAACAAATATAGACATGAGGTTTGGCTTCCTAGCAGTAGTTAGCTACCTGGCTTCCTTTTGCGTTAGCCAGCTACTGGGAAAAACATGTTTCAAAGAGACGTTTTAACACCAAAGCAGCTGTAGTTTTTCAAAAGTTCCTTCTACCTTCAAGGTGCAGCACCAGAAGGAGGTGGTGGTGGTGGAGGAGGCTGGTTCAAGTCTTTAAACCAGAAAATCTCACTCTTTAGACTATTTTGGTACCACTGTAGGATGCAAGTAAGCGTGTTTACAACAGATGTAGCATTTGTTAAATTTTTCAGTTTGGCCAGAGAGCCACTTTAATGCGGAGCGAAGAAAATCTGAATTACTGATAATCATTTAATTTAAGAATGCTCTTATATGAGTACTTGAACTGCAGATCTTAAAGCTGCACTAACTTACACCTTTGTTTAAGCTTGTACTCTTTGGTTCGGTGTTGCAGTGCTCACGTGAGTGCTTTGCCAAAGCTGCAGGACAGCAGAGGACCAGCTTCATCCAACGATCTGTTATTATTCGCCACGACTCAGTCAGCAGCTTGAGACAGTGGTTTGCCAGAGAAACGCTGCCTGCAGGCCTTGAACATGGCCTTTAGTGCGGAGCAGCGATTCCCAACGTTTAGATGTGCTTTTGCATTCTCTCAGCTTTTTCCCCCCCTGCGGTGATCCTGTTTTTGACACGGAGAGAGGAAAAGGGGGGAGAGAGAGGAGTATGAATGGTGGAGGAGCAGGCAGAGAGAGAGAGAGAGAGAGAGAGAGAGAGAGAGAGAGAGAGAGAGAGAGCCGAGCCTTTGTAGTCAGCGAGGAATGCGGAAACGTCCCTGCTCTGTGTCAAAGCGCTCTGGAGGGGTCAGGCCACACTGCGCCAGCGTGGGAAAGCGGAGCGGGAGCCCGAGTCTAGCGAAGCCGCGGCCGCGTGGAGAGCCGCGCGCAGCTCCTACTGAAGCGGAGCACTGCGGGGACACTCCGCACTAACTGTTGCTGCTGCTGGAGGAGCACGAGGAGGAGGAGGAGCAGAGGAGGAGAGCACGAGAGGGAGGAGGAGGAGGATGGCTAAAGCATGCATGCACCAGCCGACTACCTGTGTGGCCCGCCAGGACACTGGGAGATCTGTGATGTAGGTGAAGAGTCCCGGTGGGGGAGACGCACGCACGCACGCGCACACACACACACATACACGGGCGCCGTTTCTCCTTCGCAGCTCGTAGTGGGATTACCGTAACCGCTACGGGCGAACTGAATGGGTAAATACAATATTTGCGTATTTCGTTATTTTTTTATGTGACAGGATTTTAATTTTTTTGCAGAAACAGTCTTGTTTGTTTTGTTTTTTTTTTTGCTTTGCACGAGTTTTTTGAACTAGCTTGCTTTTGGCTTTCGCACGCGCAGCCCGAGCATGCATTCTCATAAAAGTCGGATTTTTTGCGTTTCGCTTTTAAAATAGTCTTTCTGACTAAGACGGACATGCACGCGGAGCCTGGGAGTGTTTGGTCGCAGATGACAACTTTTATTGCTCGGTTTTAAGACAATGAGATGAGCGCAGGGCCACGTGCTCGGGCTACTTGGTGGTGGCACAAAGCAGGGCGCGAGCATCACTGCCAGCGCGGTGTCAGAAGTAAACACAAAGATAACTAACTCTCCGCCGAGGGCTCTGTTCATTATTGCTAAGCAGCGCTCGCCTCGTTGAGCCGTGCGTCTTTTTTCCCCTCCGCCGACCTTGTTTCAGCGCTCAGCCTCAGTCACAAACCCCCAGAGTCTGTACTGATTCACGAGGCTCCATGAAACGCGTCTAATTTAACGAGATTCCAGATGCGTGTGCGGTAACGGCGGCTCTCGCGCTAGCTGGCTGTGGGGGGAAAAAGCTGGGACTTTGGCCCGCTTTGAGGCTCCGCGTGTGGGTGGATAGGCTGGCTGGAGAGCCGGGGAAAAAGTGCGCTCCGGATCCAGCAGGCTGCCCTTAAAGAGGTGAGCTCAGAGCCGCGCTCTTCTTCGCTATCCTGGCCAAGGCTGCGTGAACCGGGCTTTGGGATTCCCCCTGCAACCCTCGCCTCCCTCCCCCCTCCTCCTCCACCCCCCTTCACAGCAACAGGCTGCAGGCGAGAGAGAGGAACACGTGCAAGCAGGAAAACGCAACAGTATGGACAAAGAAAGCATGATCCAGCAGTACGAGCCCGTGGCCGAGATAGGCGAAGGCGCCTATGGGAAAGTGTACAAGGCGCGAGACCTCAAGAACGGGGGACGCTTCGTGGCCCTGAAGAGAGTGCGGGTGCAGACCGAGGAAGAGGGGATGCCGCTATCCACTATCCGCGAGGTGGCGGTGCTGAGGCAGCTGGAGTCCTTCGAACACCCCAATGTTGTCAGGTAAAACCCCTTAAACTCTAAATGACCAATCAGAGGGAGCTTAAATGCATAAGGTTTCACAGTGAATCATTCATTGTAGTTACTGGATGATAAGCTTTAGGGTTCATAACTGAGCGATGAGCTTACACTGTTGTAATTTTGCTGTAATTTACCATCACTGTTCTCTTAAATGATGCTATGTTGTATTTTGCTCTGATTTCTGAGAGGTGATGTCCATTCTAAATAGGGCTGAACGATTTGGGGAAAATAATCTGCAGTTTCAATGAAGGTTCAGGCCTGTTTTATTGGCCAAGAAGACCAGAATATCCACTTTTTCTGGCTAGAGGCTTGACCCCTGAATGTAGTGTGCCAGACTGCCAGTAAGTTGTGGTTGTGTGGAGGTTTGATTGCCTCTGATTGGTCTAAAACCATCTACAGGCATTTCACAAGCTCTGTGTTATTAGGTTAAATTTCCCCACTTTGAACTTAAGACATTGATGATGTAGGCTATAATATTGCAGCTCTTGCGATTTGAGAATTGCGCTCTCTTGAATTGCGATTTTGATATAAAAAGATTACTCTTTCAGCCCTAATTCTAAACAGTGCACTCTATAATTTACATTAAGTTCCTGTAAATAACGAAATCTCTGAGAATTCCGTCTCTACAGAGGTAAAGTAGGAAAACTATAGACATTGTTTCAGATTCCGCAAAATGAACACAAACTGGAAGCTTTCATGAAAAGAGAATTAAATATTTATTTAAAGTATGCATACTTTAGACATCATGAAAAAGGGAGCGTAATAACGATTAAGTATGATTATTAATAGTATGGCATTAATTGTGTTGTGGGTTGTGGTATAGTTGAAAGCTTTCACTGCAAAATGCAAAATAGACCATTTTTGAAAATACAGGAAATATCAGTGCTGTATTATCATTAATACCACCATTATTAGAGAATATAAAGTGTGTTTTCCATTAATATCAGCTGTTATTCCTTTCAACAACTTGCTATATCCAAATTTGTTACTAATGGATACACAGCATTTTAGAATGAAACTCTAGGTACAGTATCTCTAAAACAGAGGTCTTCAAATCCTGACCCTGATTCCTGCTTCTGGTCTGGGATTTTCCAATCACTGGTAGGTCAGTTGCTAGATGGCCAGTTAAATCAACAGAGCAGTTAACTACCAGTGAATACAAAAAAACAAGAATGAAAACCGGATTCAAGGTCCAGATCTGAAAAAATGTAACACTCAAAAGTCATGGTCATCGTTGTCAGAGCTCTCTGAGTACTAAGCCCTGACTGGTGGTAGCTGTGTCCAGTGAAGTACTGGCAACGGAAGTGACTTTCAAAGCAATAGCTAGAATTTGCTGTACTTTTGATTATATGTCTAATTTACTGTAGATTTACACTGTGTGTACTCTTTAACTAGGCCAGTCACAATCATGAAATTTTAGCAGTTTATTGCAAAATAAATAATTGCAATTAACAACTGAATATTTTTATTGATTGTATGCAACTATTAAAGTAGCACAAAGTGGTGACATTGACTGAGTAGCTGCTTTGCTTCCTAGCTGCTGATTTTAATGATGTATATTTACAGTAAAATTACAGTAATACTGTATTCTAACAGTATCTTTGTGGCAACAGATTGCCACAACATTACTGTGAAATTGACAGCAGTTTTTTCCAGTGTAGAGTTTTTGAGGTTAGTGGGTGGCACCTATAGGGTTATTGACGGTCACCAGGCTTTGCTAAACAGGTCTTCGTGCCTATAGACACTTTTTGTCGTATAACTTCCATTCATCATTCCTCCTTTCAGGTACTTCAAGAATTTCCTGCCAGATTAAGTTGTCTGCAATTTTATATTGAGCTTTGTGCAAAATTGCATAATCCAGTGTAATGTAGCTGCTTACAGTGCCCAGGTTTATGATGCAGTGTAACTGCACATGTTCAGTGCCCTGCTCAGGAATCACAGGAACAGTACTGTTAACGTGCAGTGACTTAAAACCACTGCAGCACACATTGTCAATGCTTCTTCTCTTTGGTCACTTTGGGATAAAGTCTGTGGTTTTGAGATCACACATTGCTGTAAAAGTGCCATTCTTGTAACCAAGGACAGTAAGCAGGGTCAGCAAGTCACCCTCTTCTGTCAGCAACGATGGAACTGATGTCACTGCTAGGCCTGACTTAGGCTTTCACTTGGTTTGAGCAGTAGATGAGTAATTGTGTTTTGGTAGCTTTGTTTGAGTCTGGCTTCACTGTCATTCAGAGATCCTTAGTCATTTGAATATGTCTTCTGAAAATGCTGTGTGAAGCACTTAGAGGTTTATTCACAGATGAGACACTTAGAGGTTCCAAAGAGGTTCTAAACTCCGCACTAAATACAGTCTCTGTTCTCTGATGTTAAGCTGCATGGGGGCCCAGGAAACCTATAGTGCAGTATATTCAGGACCTTGTTTAACGTCAGACAACCCTTGGATGTTTCTTATGAGCACATTATTCATTCCATATGTTTTCTGTCTGTTAAGAGACTCCATTGTGAAGGAGCAGTTTACATTCCTGGAGAAAGTTTTCTTGGAGAAACCTAATCAATGATGTCATGAGAACCAGAGAAGCTTTGCCATCAAAGTGTCAGTCTGCTGGATAATTAACGTTGTCTCGTAATTTATCAGGATTAGCGTGTCAAGTCCATGTAATCAGAGCCCTCAGAAAAATCCAAAAGCATAACTTTGTCAATCCTTTCTTCAGAGTAGTTGTAGTTGTTTGTCATTGTGTAATCAAAAAGACAGTTATGCATTTTAATGCATCAGTGAAATGTCTTTCATCCTGTTGTTTTTGATGGACGAAATTTCACTACCCCTTCTTACCCTATCGCCTCTGTGTATTGACAGCATGAGTACGAACCAATCGTTTCACATTCAGGCGTTGCTATGATGAGAGATTCTGGTCACCACCGGTCTCTGCTTGAGTTACCATGGCACATCACGAGTTTCTATGGTGCTGAGAGAGGAATGTTTTCAGTGGTCCTTGGATCTTGACTGGGGACACTAGATGTTTGTTCTTCCTAATTCTTACCAACCTTGTCTAATTTACAGAAGCGTGTATTGTCTGGCTGGTTGGCTTTTGTATTAAATGTGCTCTGTTAACTCTATGGATTTCATTCACACCATACAACACTGGCACACCATGCACCATTCACACCAGTGTGCCAGTTTCAAGAAACAATTCAGCAGTTTTCTTTACATTGCAGGAGTGTGTTACCTGTTTAATCTGTGGAAGAGCAGGCTGCTTTGATATCTACTAATGTGCATCCCTATGTAATGGAGTCCAAGAATCATGTTAATCATTTTTAATGGGATGCAAGTTATGGGGTTACAAAACTTTATGATGTATTGTAACTTATTCTCTCTACATAGTCCTTATGCAAACTGCAGGTAGCTAATGAATCAGTGTTTTAGCCTACCAATCAATATTTTTCTCCTAAGGTATTTGTGTAGTCTTTCTGAGGTCAAAAGCATAGCCTCAAGAAACAACAAGGCGCGGCATGAAGGAAAATGTTTTGAATTTTTCTGCAGCTGTGTCATTTTGAAATCATTAGCTTTGAAATGAACAGCTGATTGAGAAATGTTAGACTTGCTAACAAGATGCAATGCTTCTATTGAACAGTTTCCTATGTTACCACAGAGAAAGGAGCACTATTCTAGTATCATTCCACTCATAGCCTAATAGTGTTGGAATACAGGAGGATGTTTTGTAGCCAAGAAGTTGATCAGTCATGAGTTTAGAGCTGGAGACCCTCATTGGTTCTTTTCACTTTGCCAACAAAGCTCTGGTATTCCAAGCATAGCAAGCATTCTTTCAAACAGTCAGGAAAACTAGTCTGGACAGTTAGCTGACTCTTTAGGATTTTTCCCTCTCTGCTGCATTGTTTGGCTCATTTAACATTTGAAATCTCAGGAAACGGTTGCTGAAAAATGAATGTCAACAGTGTCAACAGTTCTTTGTTCAGCTATAAATACAATGAGCACAATAAGCTTGACAGGCAAAAGATTTGTGGACGTATGAATAATACATGCTAATGTTGTATTCTCTCCCTCTCTAGGTTGTTTGATGTCTGTACAGTTTCTAGAACTGATCGGGAGACCAAACTTACTCTGGTCTTCGAGCATGTGGACCAAGACTTGACTACATACTTGGAGAAAGCACCTGATCCAGGAGTGCCACCTGAAACCATAAAGGTATTTTAAGAGCATTAATACCTGCGATCATAATCAAAGTCGATCAAAAGCTAAATTGATGCCCTCAATCAAACATATGAGCAATCATATTACTTATTTAGTCGATTTTCCCCTGATTATTCTAAGCCTCTCATATGCTTTCATCTATGTGACCCATGCCAAACCTTGTGTTCTGGATTTGCCCATGAATAAGAATATAAATGGAGTTTTTTGGCCTGTTTTAAGGAAGCAGATGGAGGATGGAACTCCCTAAGATCAGGGTGAGGCCTGGCCTTTTGATGAGCAGTGCATGTGGTAGATGGGCTTCTAATTAAAGAGCCGGGCCCTTGTGTGCGCCTCTATTTTCATTCAGTTCTGGCTTTCACTGAAGACTGGCCAGAGGAATGTTGCTTCAGAGTGTGTGTATGTGTGGTTCTGTCTGCAATGGCCCTCTCAGTTGCTCGCTTTTTCATGGTGAATAGAGAGGCTTCCTTAAGGGGCAGTATGTAAGCGATCCTTATTTAGTACAGAAATATAGTTTTCATTAGTTCACAGAAGATACTGCAGGGCTAGCAGTGCCAGTATTTTCTTACCTCCATCCAAAACCACCAAGCGGAAATGAAGGATATTTGTCCTGATCAACTACTCTCCCATCATCTTTTCAAACTCTTTCCCACACACTAGTCTTACCAATCCATTTAGCTTATTTTCCTGCCTTTGCCCAAAGGATATGTTACATTAAGTCTTGAAAAGAGTCATGTCACCTCTTTCAATTATATTGGGTTGAAGGGGAAACTGAGATGTGTCTAAACTGCTTGTTGATACCTGAGGGGTTTCCTTTGCTAGTTTTGCGTATCAACATGAAAAGAGTATTTAGATATTCGTAGCATTCTAGGTTACCGTATTTATGGTACACACCCATCAAAGGATTAGGTGCTCATAGATTTGTTAAACTTCAGAGTCTTTGAACAGAGAATGAGTGAGCATTATTGATGGCTTGGATTAACTATTTATGAAATCAAAAGTATCAGTATAGGGGTATAATAATGTTCTGATTATTACTACATTATAAGGCAGTAACTAGAATAAATTAAGCATTTTCTGGAGCACTTTAGTGTCTGTTATATAAACACCACAAGTTGTCTCAATCTTGCGTTAAAGACAACTTTTTCTCAAGACCAGTTCAGTTTAAGGCATCCTTTATTTTATTACTACTTTCTTGTTAAGGCTTAAAACACATTACAAGAGCATTATAATGTCCCCTTATACGTCTTCCTTAAATAGCTTAGAGAGCCACTCAATTGAGAGTATGAGTAATGGTCTTCACTAACAATATAAATAGAGCAAGACACATTTTCCAGGACAATATGTGAGAGAAGTGACATTTAAGGGGGTCAAATTTCAAATCAGAGCGCAGTAAGATATGATGTTGAACTGTTTTAATATCCAGGATGATTATCATGTATGAAAATAAAAACAATAAGTGTGAAGCTGCCAGTGAAGTTGAGTCACAAGCTTTCTTTATACACAGTTGCAATGCTTTCCTTTGTAAGAACAGATGTAGGAACACTGCCAATGCCACATGTTGAATAAAGTCAGATTTTATTTTCATGAGCATGCGGATTGGGTTTTTTTTGAGGAGACCAGATAATGGCCATCAGAGACAGATGATGGGCTCTAGAGCAGTTTTCCTAAAGACCCCCAACAACTTCATTTACTCCCCCCCTTACCCAGAAGGACACCAGATTGCAGTGGTCCCAGCCCCCCCAGCCCATTGCAAGCCCCCGTCCTGTCCACTCCTGCCCCTTTTTGGACCCACCACATGCTAATTGATGAAAGAGGCCCCAGGAATCAAACGAGCTGGAAGGACATCAAGCGGTTGGCGCTGCGCTGGGGAGTGCGGCTGGACCCTGCAGCCCCGCGCTTCTCTCAGGCCGGTCCCTGCCCCATAAAGGAGAGCCTAATGAAGCATGGGGAGGGAATTACACTAACGCTAACTGGCAGATGTCCTGCATTGTGCCCGGCTACAATAAACAATATGGCCGTCTCTCATGAATTAGCATGAGAAAGGGGAGTGCCTTCTGGAGGCTCTGTTTTGACTGCTGTTTTTTTTTAGTGTTTTTTTTGGCCTCTTCTCTTTTTCCTTAACTCTCTGTCCGTGTCTTTTTGCGGAAGAGGTGCTGTTGAGGACAGGTGCCTAATTTGGGCTGCTCAGCCTTGGTGTTTCACGTTGATGACGTTGTTGTAGCTGTTTAAGCTTTAATCATTGTTTTAAGTTAGAATAATATTTTCTGATTAAGAAGAGAGAATTAAAGGACCCATGTTCTACATTTTTTATTTTATTCCCTGATGCTGACAGATGTCACAATGCTTTAATTATGTCATTTTACATGGCCATTTTCCAACATCTCTTTATCCCTTTGAATTACATATATGTAAATGAGCTCTGTTCTGATTGGCTGCTTCGTATTTTGCCTCATCCATAAAGCAGTTGGGGCTGAAACATTTCTTACACTTCTTATAACTTCACCATTAATGTGCGGAGATAATCTGCTGTAAGCTGACAAGGTGGATATATGTAAAGGCGTTGGTTCTTTATGACATCACAAAAACAACAGGCTGTTTTTGCAGCTTAGTTTGTGTATATGGACTGTGTGGATCAGGGAGTCAATGGTACATTTTGAAGCAGTGTTTATGTACCAAATCAAGCTCTTTTATTTCAAAAAAGTGAGAAAATGGGGTCTTTTAAGGAAAGCCACAGTAAAGTAACTAAATTGTTTTGCAGAATACAAACAGATATTTGTGTATTGCCATTTCTAGGTTTCATATGATAAAGTTCAATCTGTTGTTCTTTTTAAAGTTTTTTCATTACAAATAAATACACAATAAATACCCAGGTCACCCTTATTAACCCTTTAATGACATGTCCTTGATAGACACAGCACAGCCTGAAGTTAACTCATCTGCGACAACAAAGGACAGCCAAGGAGAGTGTTTGTGTGTTTGTCCTCGGGTCATTATGCTGTAAATGTGTTTTTTTTCCTTTTCTTTTTTGTCGTGCGGAGGAAACGTGGCAATAAGGCTTGAAGCCAATGTGGAGAAACTGATGGGGGGGGGTGATGCCGTTGCGCCAGACTGCCTGTGCCACGGCGGGTTGGTGGGTCCGGTAGGTCATGGCTGGATGGGCATTCAGAAAGGGCCCTTGTTTATGCTGGCTGCCAGGCACACAGGCCTCACTCTCACACACACGTTTCCTGGGCCCTAGCCCCCTTTATACGCATTGTCACAGCCTCCGCCCCTCCCACCCCACCCCCCACGTCCCCTTCCCCAGGCACGGCCAGATCCGCGCCGTTTGCGAATGTTTTCTGCTTGAGTGTGCACCCCATTGTTTCAGTGCTTTTAATCACTCACCAGCTGGTTGGGGAGTGAATGGAGCCGTGGGCCTGGATCCATGTCACTTGTGAGGTCTTGGAGGCAGGTTTCTAGAGGGTTAGCCTGCCACTGCTTGATGCCTCCAATTTGGAGCAATTCATGCAGCAACTGTGCACAAACACCTCTCTCTCTTTTGCTCTCCTTCTTTCTCTTCTGTCAGCCCCCGTTTTTTTTCTTATCTATCACTCAGGCAGCTCCCGGCAGCCTCCATGGCCGTGGCTTTCTTCTACTGTCGTTGTGTAAGTTTCACCAGAGGAAATGGCAGTTAAGCCGTTCTCTCTCTTTTTTTCCTCCTCTCTCTCCTTTTCTCTCCCGAGTCAGTGGCATTAGGGGCTGCTCTCTGCCTGGCCCGCAGACTGAACAAGTGATTGTGGGACAGCTGCGGGAAGTGGAGGCCCAGCAGAACGGGGCCTTAAAGTAAGGAGTCTTTCCGGCTCTGCATTCATGTCAGTTATCAACATCTGCCGCACTCCAGATTTAAAGGGACATGCCTATTTTTTTCCCACTCCCAATCCACAAGATCTCTGATTTTGAACTGATTGCCCTACAGCTCCACATGAAATCCCTGGTCTTCTACATGATATGTCATCACATTTGGTCACTGCTGTTCCTTTAAGCTATTTTGAGGTGTTTGGTCCTGAATTGTTAGGAATAGCCTGAGTTTGTTTGTTTTTTGCAGGATATGATGTACCAGTTGCTGCAGGGTCTGGACTTCCTCCACTCGCACCGCGTGGTTCACCGAGACCTGAAGCCTCAGAACATTCTGGTCACAAGCGGAGGACAGATCAAACTGGCTGATTTTGGCCTGGCACGCATATACAGCTTTCAGATGGCGCTTACTTCAGTGGTGAGTCAGCTTGCACAACTGTTTCTTAACTGCCTATTTTTCTTGGCTATCTCAAACATGTTTAACTATTGTACTGTGTCCCAAAAATAGCAGCTAAAACAGCATATTTGTGATTCCAAAATCATAGCGCATAATTAACGCTTTGTTGTGGCCGATAGTGATGCCAGAACCTAATTTGCAATGGATTTAGTGTAAGATAGTGTAAGGTTAAAACTCTTAGACCGGTGATGGCGCTATGATTGGCTCACCCAAAATGACTGCTCAAGTTTACTTTCAGTATTAAAATCTGATGAATACACAACTAAAAAATGGTAAATAATAAAAAATGCACTCACTGAAATTCCATTTCTCTCATCAACTAATCAAAATCCCAGTTTAACCAGTAGCCATGACTGTGAGGAGTTTGCTAAGCATTGATCTCTCTTGAGCCACCAACACACTCTCTAACACCCAGCTACAGTTTTCAGCTCTCAATCAAGGAGCATCTCATCATGCTGGTATGAAAAAGAGTTTGTCCAGTCCTGCTTTAGCAGTGATGCTCTCAGCATTTTGGAGATAAATATAAGGAGCACCATTCTGTGGATTTGGAACTGGAAGCATACAAACATGGCTTGTTTTAAGCACAAAAGTAGTTGAGCATACTGCATTACCTTAGATAAATTTAGAATTTTAAATCTACAACAAATATGGCGCAATTAATACAGAGGGCATAACCGCCAGCTTATTAAAGTTATTTTCATGATTATTGTTCCTGTGAGCAAAGTAAGAGCCATTATTTCCGAGCTCTGGGTTTTATGTTTCTTGGTTGACTAGCAAGCCTTGGCAAATGCGTTAGCTAGGGTCCATCCAAAACAGCAGTCCTGGCACAGCTACGGAGTTAGACATGACAATGTCTAAACTTGTACTTTATTGTACTTTTTACTATTTGTGTGTTTACTTTATTGTAAAACACACAAATAGGAATATCAGTTACATATCAGTTGTGTTTTATCGTTATGCTGAGTAAACAAATTAATAGTAAGTGTTTACCAATCCAGATTGAGCTCTAAATTTGAATCAGTATGCATCCATCCAAAAATGGAAGCATTGTACCTCTTTTATACAGTGATAGAAAACAAAATAGTGCACCAAAGGCTCCGATTCTACATGCTGATACATTTTACTGTGGCCATTTTACTGTGGCCTACTTTTTATTTGGCAGAAGCTCTAATCCAGAGCCATGTACAAAGGTAAGTGAATGCAACTTTGGGAGTCAGAATATCAAACCACTTACCTCTTGTATGTGGGGTGTTGGTACTATCCTACATGTTATCCATTTCAGTCAGCATAGAAATGCCTATTCATATTGACTATACATGTGGATGTAATTATAGGCTGTAATTCCAATATAGGACCTATGATGATCATTTTCTCATTAGCAAATAATATTAGTAGGCACCCCTACACCTGACTCATCATTTACCACTCTTTGTTAGCAAGATCTCTGATCAGCACCTTTTTGGCTGAGGTCTGCTGTCTGCCTATCTGATCTCTCCCTTAACATCCTGCCTTCCTACATTTCCTACCCATCCCTTGAACATGCACTTCACATCTGTTTCATTAAACCGAGAATGATGGAATGCAGGGAACACTTCGAAAGCGTACGTCTTGAGGGATTTACTAGTTGAATTAATTTCTTTGATGCTCCCCTGGTGAGTTCAGGAGAGTGACATCCATTGAGAGTGAAAAGACCAGTGGGTCCCTCGAGACAGACGTGGACAGCTCCCAGTCAGGAGTGGCCGGCAATGAAAGGCCACCCATCAGCTGCGAGTCCAGAAGCAGGTGCATAACGTGTAAATTGAGACCCACCGCTGTCTGTTTCATGTCTTTGGGCCGCGACAAAGTGGTCTGGGGATGAAATGGATCGTGTGATTGAGTGAGTGAATTCTCTGTCATCCTTTGAAGTCATAGTCTCTTGAAGGAGGCTCTGATGTCAAGAGATAGCATATAGCTACTGAATGGACATTGTATCTTTTCTCCGTTGCACTGACAAAGGGAGATGTTTCTCAAAGGAATGGCAGTCGAGCGGTTTTATATGTGAGTGTTACTACATCTACTGTAAGTTTCTGCTAAACATCATGAATGTATGTAAAGGAAATTTGAATGCATTCAGTATTTGAATGAATTCCCACTTACGGGCACAACCGCAAGGGCACGTCTTAATCCTGTCCTTTTCACAACTTATTCGGTTTGCAAAATTTGAATGACTGCTACAACTTGCTGTTGGTTGCGTGGTTTCAGTGGTTAGGCAGTTGAGCTTCTGTAAGTTCACCTGGGAATCCACCGGAGGCATTAGAAAATCCCTCCTCCACCCTAACCCTCACTCAGTTCTGCTGTGAAAAGAGAGAGAGAGAGAGTGAGGGTGAGTGAGGGTGAGATAAGGACATACATAGGAAGAGAGAGAGAGAAAGACTAAGGGTGAGAGAGGGGAAAAGAGAGAGTGGGTGTGAAAGAGAAAAGTAAGAGAGAGTGAGAGAGAGAGACTTCACGGGTTCTCCAGCTCCCTGATTAATTTTCCTGCGTTTGGAATCCCCCTCATCACCCGCCTTCAGTGTGGCTAAAAAAAACACTTCCTCTCTGTCTCCCGCCAGATAAAGAAATGTCGTTATTGTGTATGCAAAACAGGCACTGAGACTCGTTGTGTGATTTCTTTTGCTTTCACAGATAATAGTTGTTAGCTACCTGCTCGCCAGATGGACAGTAACTGTATCACTGAAACTGTAAACTGTAAACATGCTAAGCAGCCCGGACAGAGTTCAGTCCTGACAGTCTTCTAGAAGAGGCAGAGAAACAGAAGAGGTTTAAAATACACACCACAGCCTATTGTTTAGCACTCAAGATGAATCATTCAATGAAAGCCCTGTTTTTAGCTGTAATGGTTGTCTGATTTACATAAAGAACATGAAGGAATATCCCTTGGGGATTTTGTTGTGACCAGAAAGGGCCATATTTAGTCAGTTTTGCTTTACCAGAAATGTAGTTTATATTGACTATATATAACCAAGAGCTGAGAAAGATCTAAAATGCACACATAAAAGATCTCAAACTGCATGTAATACGCAAGGAAGTATATACTCTATTATAAGTGCTGTCATCAAACCAAGATGGTACAGTCAGAATGGTGAAAAATGATTAGATACTGTGTTGGTTTTGTGTTTATGAAAGAGTAAATTACACTGTCAGTCTCATTTAATGTCATTGTAGTCTAGAACTCGGCTTAGTCTGTATGTGTCCCATACATTTTATATAACTATCATGTTAAATATCAACATGTTCTCTAAGGAAATAACTCCCCAGAACTACCAAGGTCTTTAACCCTTGCTATTACTGTTGTTTTGCATTTAGTTATGTAATGAATTACAGTAGCTCTTGATTAACCCTGTAAGGGGGATTCAAAAAGCGGATATTTTTGTCATTTAATCAGCTCTTCATTAATAATCTGATTTCTCAATGCTGTTATTGCATTTATTTGACACGTAAAGAACACTATCCAACAAAGGTGAAGATTTGCAGATTTGTAGATTTTGTCACAAATTACCCTTTTGAACATGAAAACACACAAATAGGAATATCAGTTACATATCAGTTGTGTTTTATCGTTATGCTGAGTAAACAAATTAATAGTAAGTGTTTACCAATCCAGATTGAGCTCTAAATTTGAATCAATATGCATCCATCCAAAAATGGAAGCATTGTACCTCTTTTATACAGTGATAGAAAACAAAATAGTACACCAAAGGCTCCGATTCTACATGCTGATACATTTTACTGTGGCCAACGCTGGCGGCAGATTGAAACAAGTAAAAGGGGACAGTGCCAAAGTCTCTGGATGTAATGTCAGTGAGATGTTCGGTTTTAACATTCTGTATCATCAGGTTTGAGTCTTCATTTCTGACTTTTTCAGTTTGTTTTCGACAAAACAAGACTGTATAAACAACAATAGCTTGATGTCCAATTGAAACTGCAGTCATTAACTGTGACTTCTAAGGGCTAATAGAGAAAAGAAGGTTTGTTTTGTATGAGCACTACCATTTCGCAGCCCTCTCCTTGCAGTTGCTCATTCTCCCAGCCTGTAGATGGGAGAGAAAGAGGGAGAGAGAGAGAGGCTGAGCAAGTGCAAGCTGGGCAGACCACCCATTGGGTGCTACAGAGGTGAAGATTAGGCTGACCCTACAAATCTCATGGGTCCACTGCATTGTTGATCATTAGAATGTCTCCACTCTCCCGGTGACCATTGTCCGCTTCTGATTGACAGCGCTAAGCCGCTGGGCAAAGGCTCAAAACGGAGCAACGTTTCTTTCTCCTCCTATTGCCTTTTTGGGTACATTAGCTGGCCTTTATCCCGGGTCATGTACAGACAGAAGAGAGGGGAAGTTGCTGTTGTTACTAGGCTACAGCAGCGTGAAGCATTCGGCCTCTCCACGCTGGTGATATTGTACCTAGCGCTGCCTTCCCCTGCTCCACATGCTTTTCCCTCTGAGAACAGAATTAAGTAATGGTAATGCTGTGTAGTGCAGTCTGATTCCGGCTCCCTCCCGGATGCCAGTGAGAGTCAATGTATGGAGGCAGACTGGATTGTCCCATGAAAGCGATTAGGACAGCACTCAAGAAAGCATCATGTGCACCACATTGCTCACGAAATTAGATTGGTGTAACAGGAGGCAAATTCCCTGAATCATTTTATTCCGATGGATTGTTGTAGCATTTTTACAGTTGCTAAAACAAACTAAATAATTGGTGAAGGGCCACTGCTAGTGCAAGATTCTAATCACATGGAAGTTGAACTGTTCTGACACTCTAGCTCATGATGACTCAAGTGAATAAACTAGCAGCATCTGAGGCAATACAATAGATCCGTACAACAGCAGGACCTTCGGACCTTCTTATTTACTAGGTTTCTCTAAAACATATTTACTGGCCTTTCGGAAAAAGTCTTTGCCTCCATCTGAAGATGCTGATCC